ACATATATATATATAACAGTATATAAAGCGATTATCATATTTTTGATTATAAAAAGACGGCTTGAGATAAAGCAGCACTACACATCGGTAACGCAAGTGACACGATATAGAACGCAGTACGTTGCATGCTCATATCAGAACAAGAGATTATAGCCAACACCTATAAAAATTATTCGAAATAGAACGCTACTCGGAAAATCATTTTTACTAATATAAAGGTATGGAACTTATTGATAACATGAGAAAAAAACATTTTTCCATATTTTTACCTATGCATCTTAATATGAACTCGCTCTGTAGTCGACTACTAGGTAAAAACTAGTGCGAGCTACGTAACTGGCCCATCATCTATTTCAAAACGTATACGCGTCACGTATAAACGTATCTTTTTACATCACGATTTCGATCACCAATAATATGTTTACATTATAGCTTCAACAGATTATTATGTTGAACTGTGAGAATCGGATGGAAGTATCACCTGACATTTGTCACTGCAATAGTGGACAACAGTACATTCAATGCAACGGCTCAATTTGGGCTTGCATGTTAAACAATACGAACACGCCCGTTCCAAAAAGTCGATATCAAGGGCGGCTCCGAAAGGCGCGCTGCGAAGAATAATTTGGCCGGCTAGAAACTTCATATCTGATCGTGTCCCCAAGCCGCCGCACTTCGCTAGACTTCAAGTTTCCTCACTGGAAATTAGCTTACGAGCGCTCGGTCACACGTTCACTGGAGTAATTTGCTTGCCCGCCGTTTCAGATTCCAAGTACACGGTTCGATTGAACGTTGCGCTATTGACTCTCAACCGGTAGCTAATTTAGATTATACATCTGAGTGCACTTGCTGTGTTGTTTATAGGCGAGGCCGTCAGTTCTTTTGCCATCGAGAGACGCCTGGCCACCCTTTCTGATGCATCCTCGCTAAAGTGTAATTTATTTTAGCAAGAAAAGCGGCGTAGCAACGCGATGGAAGCGGGCGTTGCAATGCTTGGTACGCGTCCAATAGAGCCGCGCTCAGATGGTGGATAAGCGACTATAGGTGATGCCTTGACCGAAACCTAATAGCCTAGACCGTGAGCCTGGCGTCTCGCTCTAACCTAACTATGCGAACAATCTCACTGCACGATCGTTGTTTCAAAGCTTATGAAGACCTGAAGCGCATCAACGTACGGCAGAATAAGTATCGCAACACCACGACAGTTTAGATATACAACAATGTTCGGCTTCACCGAGGGCTTTTATTTTTAAGCTCTGACGTAAGTGCCACCAGCCGCCCCAGAGCAATCAGTTGACACTTCAATTGCCCTCACAACACTACTTCTTGTATGGCCGATACACAAAAGAACAGAAAGAAAAGTAGCAGTAGGCAACGTTCTCAAATGATGGCTTCACCAATAAAGATAGCATCTTTGTGCAAAGAGCAGGACAGGAAGGCGATCTCGACTGGTACACAGATCTGACCATTAACCTCTTAACTTGCATGCATAACGGTAAATGATAGCAGCAGTAACAATAGTTAAGGTAAACTGGCGACGCGCAATACAGAGCAAAACGGCTGGCAACGTTCGAAAAAAGCAAAATGTTGAATATGAATTACTAATAATAATATATATATAATGGTTATAATGAAACCTGTAAGATAAATTTACACGTAAACCTGGAGTTGTAATAGGCAGGAACTAAGTTGCCCCCCCAACTAAAATTTTTTATGGAAGGGGGAAAGGCGATGGTTTGTGCATTAAAAGGCGTTAATAAAGAATGTCATGCCATCACCATTGTCCTGTTTTTTAGGACCATGTGCGTCAAAGCCCCTATAAGATTAACCTTTAAGCGATATGTGGTTAAGTTAGGTATAACGTACAATGCAAGATTGAGTTTCGAGTAAGCTGCACTGGAAATAAGAGGTAAATCCGGGAAACGCACAAGACATTCCACCTGTATATAAACTATCGAAAGTGATATTAGATAATCGAATATTAATCATCATCAGTATAATTATTATTATTATTACGACTACGGTATACTATATAGTTTTAGGTTAGTGATCAACCGACTAACATACAATATAATTATTTCCTTTAATCTCTCTGAAAAAAGAATCCGCAAAACATTTGCGCTTTGCTGATTGAGGCAATGATATAGCAGTACTGCCTTGATATTGAAAAGCTTATCAAAGATTTCAGGCTATACTTTAGGATGATGAGTAAGTCGATTTTGGCCATTACACGTATAGAAAATCCATGGGGTAGCATGTGGGAAGGCACATAGCGATAAGAAGCACAAAAAACAAACAGATTTTTTGTATCGGTCTTAAATGTAAAGCATTTATTTACACATATTTCCCATGGAATATAAGATATTTTACTATCTTGTCATTTTTTCAGAAGAGCATGTTGCACATCGAGTTGTTGGTCTTCCGTCTGGAGTTTGGCAGAAAATGTGAATCTGAAATTTACAAGGTTCCTAGAGGTATTGGTTTTTACATTCATCACATGCCATTAAAATTACCGTCATCTAATGAGACGTAAATATTTTTCTCTGTTGAAAGTTTTCTCTGTTAACAGCGACATCGAATCCATATTGTCATTAGAAGCCCCCAGACAAGGGCCGTTGAAACGTATTCAGAGCTGTGTTGGGTAAGCAGGTAATCATCTATCTGACTTATTAATGCCTAAGAGTTTTACGTCCGACACCGCTATTAGACATCTTATGACGCGGCTGGCCCAAAACGAAACAAACCGTTTGTTCGTATGTGAACGTAGACGTAAATAAGTTGGAAAAGTTTTCACGGATAACTTTCGATGGGTCTTTCGTTTTTAAATATACGTTCTAATACACAGTCAGGACGTCTAGCTTAGGCCAGTACAGCTGTTTTCGGCCGGTTTGAACTGCGCCGTTCGTATTACACTATATACCATCCGTGTAAATATTTTTCATCATTTGCTTTATTAGAACAGACTCGAAAATGCTAAAAATAATAAATATCCCCTTTATAGTTTTTTAAAATTTACTATGGCTTTACCTCGTGCTATTCGCTTGTTAATTTTAATTTTTTTTTACGGAACTACGCATACGCACGTGTAGAAGGTACCTATCTATTGCTAATGTTTCGTATCAGACATAGCGAAAAAAGTATTTGTATTCATTCTCATTAGCTCAACTCTAGCCTCTTTACAGCTAAAGTTCTGTAGAAAGAAACTCGCACCCGTTATACGCAGGTTTTACGTTGAGTCTGATTAGTTAAGCTAGAGATTATGGTAGAGACGGCATTTACCAGGTTCAACATAGAGTTTTCGTATATATATTTATTTATTACATATATATTTATTTATTTTCAAAAGTGTTTTAGAGAAGCTCAACTTTATTTATGGTTCATATATGCCTGTTCATTCGAAACCGATAAGCTCAGTTTCGACGGTAAAAAGGCTTATTATGTACGAGAACGACACATTCTGCTTAAAAAATACACAGTACCAGTCCGGATTTTTTTAATATAACGTTTCAGTCGACATTAGCACGTATTTGTCTAAAATATAGATAATGCTACAATTAAAATGTATGAGATACCATGCGTCTGTTACACTTCCCAGTACGTGCTTGTTGAACGCATTTCCTCAGATACCACCGTACGCTTCGAATTGGGACCTTCGCTATACGGTCATGATGTGGCGTTGTTTATAAATTGTCCTTCAAGTCCGGAAATCGCGTTTAAGCGAGACTGTTACCGACCACTTAAATGGAAGTATCATTTTGCCGACTACGCCGACGGGAGCAATGCCTATTCCGACTGCCACTTTGCCATGTCGGGAAGTTTTAGGTTTTATTTCACCATCGACGACAACAGGTAAGACGAAAAAGACAACTACACGTTGCAATGATATTATGCTTGAAGGGGAACAGCAGATTTTGAAACCATAAATACACATACGACAAAGTTCAACGACAGCTCCCAGTTGGGAAATCGATGCGTCTAAAGAAGAATTTTATTTTGCAGGGAAGAAAATGGCAGTGGATACCTTTTAGTTGATCCCGTACTAACCCTTCAGGGAAAAACCCTGCCACTCGACGCCATCCAATGTCAGACCGTGCTTTCCAAATGTTTAGGACCCTTGAACACATGGGAGGACAAAATCAAAGTAGCTGCCTCTTCCGGTTATAACATGGTACATTTTACGCCAGTTCAAGCTTTAGGTGGCTCTAACTCGGCATACTCCCTCAGAAATCATATGGCACTAAACGACACCTTTACTCCGTCAGGCAGTGACTCAAATACGTTTGACGACATCAAAGCGTTTCTAAAACTCATGGAAAACAAGTACAACGTAAGTGCCCGGATTTCCAAACAGTTTAAGTTTCCGCTTCAGATCATTGGGATGTATTTCGAGCCTGTTCTCAGGTCTGAACTGCTTTATGTCAGTCTTCTGGAAAACCCCATAGATATAAGACGTAGTAGACTCGTCCTTTATCATCCTTAAAAAAAATTTCAGCGCATGAAGAAATACCCACACCTTACAATCGCGCATGCGCGGAATGAGGGTTCCTTTCTGCAACCTCCCGTGGTGATCTTATCAACATTATAGCTTTAGATTTAATTTACAAATCTACCTCATATCATTTATTAACGGATTGTTACATAAAATATTAAAGCATACTTATTCTACTATTAATGTCGAGTAGTTACTCTCTTTAACGGACATTGTCTTAAACCATACGGCAAATGAGACACCGTGGCTGCGAGAACATCCTGAATGTTCGTTTAACGCCGAGAACTCTCCTCACCTTCGCCCGGCAATGCTGCTTGATCAAGAACTCTATCTGTTATCCAGGCAAGCAATGCTTGGTAAGATGACCGCCGCTGGAATCCCACTTAGAATCACTGAAGAAGAACACCTCGAGGTAAGAAAAATTGCAATTTCGGTTTACATAAGACAAATAATCAAGTTAAAGGGTAGGGCTTGGTTACACAATGTATACATGATCTACGAGATGGTTGTCTTAAGGGGCATTCTGTTGTTGCTGTGGGCTGGAAATAATACTACTAAAATATGAACACAGATATTTTGCCACGACTGTTGAGTATTTCGAATCGCAAGTTAACTACTATCGTACTAAACAACCCAATCGTTTGAATAATGTAATTTGTTGTTACTCTTGGCGTTTGTATTTTTTTAGATATACGCGAATATATATCAATAACGAAACACTCTGTTAGGGTTATTATAGAGTTATAGGGTTTTCCACTGTTGTTACTAGTATTGCTATAAAAAAGCGGTTATGCGGCTGTTATTTCTTTGAGCATGGCGCCAAATTCTTGCCTAGAGAGTAATACGTTTCCGTTGTGCAGATTGTGTTCCACTTCGTGCGAATCATGCAATATTTAAGGCTGTAATTCCTTTGAAATAAAAATCCGTTTGTAAGAGCCGCAGTTGCTAAGTTAATAAATCTTCTATGTGCAAACTTTCTGCCTCATAGTTGCTCTGTTTCACATGCTGTGGTAAAATTGTTACCTTCCGCTGTGTTTTTTTGGTCGACCATATCGCATAGCTTGCAAATGTCTCTGGTACAAACAAACGATTGATAAGTACACTATCTTAAAAGACGCTTTTAAAAGCAGCTATCGTCCCTTTATGGAAGTGTGGCTAACAATGCGTACCAAGATGCTCTGAATAATGAACACAGTGTTTGTTGGGTCGATAGCCGTCTGTGAAACGCGTCACTGGGCTTTAAGGTGCGACGCCTTTGTGGAGTAGCATTTCGAAAATGCCGACGGCGTGAACAAAATTTTGTATCCACATAGGTTCATGTATCTGATGTGTATATTATAGCGCGTGCATTTGCCGCAGATGCCTAACTGTCCTTGTCAAGCTCACTTTTACCTGTTAGGACATGTAGCAGGTAATTGTATTGCTTATTGTCAATACAGAGGTGGTACACCTACACACACGTCACTACAAGCCAGTCGCGGTAAACAGTACAGGTACCGTATTCGTCACTGAGACCACAAAGGATTCACCCTGGTTTGCTTCATTTGACATTCTCTTCCACTCTCATTGCTCCACTTTTTCCATATCGTCCGTTTCCCTCCCGTCATAGAAGAATTTCGGGGATAACGTCATCGCAGAAAACAGTTGAAAGGATATTTTTTGACAACCCAAATCGAACTCGAAGAAACGACATTATACTAGAGTTTATTTTGCTTCTTGCTTGTACCTCACGCTGTAACGAACTATGATTCCTGAAAAGCTGGACGCTTACGGGGAATCTATTTTCCAAGTTATAACGATGGCAGTGTTTGTGCTGCGACCGGCAAAAGCTAGGTCGTACAGACACTGGAAAGGGTTACATTATAACCTAAATATGGAAGGACAAGTAGAACTTTACACCGGTGACTGGTCATCTTACGGTCCAGTGTAGTAATTATTGGGAACTCCGTAAGCGACGGGAGAAACGATGCTGTGTGCAGATGGATAGAATAACATCTGCACACAACTCTGTACTTTTCCCTGTGCTATTTATTGTACAACGAACAGCGTTCGCCTTACTTATGACATCGCATTGGTATTTTTTAAGGTATAATATAATATATATATTGAAAGCATGCTACCTTGTTTGTCTCTGATATGGTTTGTGCAAATTTCACCAGCCCTTACACTCGTTTTACGAAACTAAATACATCTTACAGGATTTACAAATTTATGAAGACAAGTTTGTTATCCTGTATCTTTAGGCAGTTCGAAGAAAGATTGTTGCCGACATCCTTCCGAGGCTCAAGCTACACGAATTCTATATATGTGATATCGATAAGCTGGTGAAGGAGTTTGAAGGTGAGAATATAATATATGCGTGTAGTATATAATCTCAATGCTAACCCAGCTTAATTCAGCTTGTGTGCTCTGAAAAATTTCAACCTAGGGGCTGTGGCTACGGCCCAAGACGTGCGGTATTAAGGCCTATACAGTTCTTTTGGAGAAAATACCCCAGTGGCTAGTTGAAATAGTATTGCCAGAAGTCAATCGTAATTGGATTACAAGGTGGTCTGTCTTTTTTTTTTTTTTTCATTTGTTGACTACAGTAAAGCAAATGACAATACAACGGCTGGGATCTTCATTTTGTTTTTTTTTCTTCAATTCATAATCTATGTATACCGTAAATGACATTGCTAGTAACTAGGTTTTTATTTTGTTGCCTTAGCGACACCTGCCACGACCCTATCAGACTCACAAGAATCGTTGAAAATGAAGTACAACTATACGCGTTTTGGAACGACATGCGATGTTGTACAAGCAAGAAAGATTTTCCATTCCAGTAATCAATTTCGTGACCACCTCGCCTCGTTCAATGCCCGTGAGTGCCATAACACCGAAGAACACCTTCGCAATGCCGCCGAAAACGTGATCAAGGGTCTACGCTACCACAAAGTCGATAATTGGGGGCCGAAAAAACATGAAATCACTGAGCAGGACCTACTCACTGTGAGGTTGGTAAAGAATATTGATAAGTTACACCACGTTGTTGAACGTTTTGGTTTGTAGGTACCTCATGGTAGTTGCTTCGAAGCTACTGTAATCATGAATGCTCTAAATGTGGCGGAGCTATAATTTTCAGGGCGTTCCAACGCCTTTAATGAACGTACGTGACGTGTAAAATTATTCATATTATAGCAACAACTACCTTAAATTTATACTGCTATTAGAGATGGATTTGCAACTTGCTTTCCAGGTATTTTCTTCCCAATCATGACGAACTGGCCGATCAAATAACTTCCGCAGAAATGGAGGCTATGTTTAATGATGAGCGCGGCCGGTATATTATGGCTCACAATGGATGGGTGATGGGTGACAATCCTTTAAGGAACTTTGCGCTGGAAGGTAGGAAAAGTGTAATTAACAGATGCAATGTACATAACAACTTTAAGTGCTCGTGGTAGCCGTGTGGAGAAAAAAATATGTAGCTATATTATTACTAGATCATTTTTAGCTGCCTCTAATACCCCAAGCGGTGTCTCAGATCCATATCAGGATGATATGTAATAAGCTACGCAAACATTTCAATTTCTGTCTTCTTATTACTGCAGGCAAGTTTCAATATGTTGCCTAGATAAAACCGAATACAATGACACATTAGTAGGGTCCTCATTTGTCCCTGTTAATATTCTGCTTTATTATGCCTTTTTGCTGTATTAACTTGCATAGGAACTGAGTTTGGGAAAGCAACACTATGGTCGCAGCTGTTTCAATATGAGGATAACGTACACACGCACATCTAAAAGTCTGCTTTTCTGGCTCGCTTAAAAAATGTTATTAATTTGAGTGTAACAAGGATCAGGTTCTGTTGAAACTGTTGTTTGTTTTTTTACTTTATTTACTTAATTCAAATTCCCCCTGGAATCTATTAGGATCAATGGTATATCTCCGTCGTGAGCTGATCGCTTGGGGCGATAGTTGCAAACTTCGATATGGTGAGAAGCCTGAAGACTGCCCCTTCCTATGGAAGTATATGGCGGAGTACGTAAGAAAAAGTGCAGAGCTGTTTCACGGACTTCGGTTGGATAACTGTCACAGTACGCCTATACATGTGGCCGAAGTAAGTTTTTCTAAATAGTGAGGGAAAACGGTATTAGGGTTTGTAACTACGTAGAGAAAAAGGATGGATATTCAGATGCAGGCTAATCCTAGCTCAACTATATGTGTGACTTCCTGTGTTTGCTTTGGTTTTGTTAGTACCTGCTAGACGAGGCTCGTGCAGTGCGCAGTAACCTCTACGTGATTGCCGAGCTGTTCACATCGTCTGAAGCGCTCGACAATATTTTTGTCAATCGGCTCGGCATCAATGCCCTCATCAGAGAGGCACTTCAGGCGCATAATTCTCATGAACTAGGCAGACTCGTTCACCGTTTTGGAGGAATTCCCGTTGGTAGTTTCTTTCACGCCGAGGGTAACGTCTAACCTCAGATTCAGCCTAATCTCTAAAACTATTCGGATAAAGAGATTGATATCTAAATCATTATTGATTAACATGAGGTCAATCGCACAATAATGAAGTTAATATATTAGGGTCTTTAGGTGACGAGTAATTTATTTGTTTTGGTAACGCCAATACGTCTAAGGTCACAGGCAATATCACTCATTTTTATGTTTGCTTATATTATCCTAATCTATATCGTGTCTTATTAATAATCACCAAAGCTCGGCAGGAGTATTTTACTGAAATACTAATTCTGATAAGTCTCAGGCCGTAGAAAATAATACATAATAATAACAATCCCTTCCAGGTGTGGCCCCCCTAATGCCATCAGTTGTCCACGCTATTTTGATCGATATGACGCATGATAACCCGTCGCCGTACGAAAAACGCAGCGTCTACGACTTCTTGCCCAGCGCTGCCCTTGTTTCGATGGCATCGTGCGCTACGGGTAGCAGTCGTGGGTATGTAACTGTCTTAACAATCCATGCAATTAATTCCAGTATATGAAAGGCTTCGTCGTCCAGGGCTAGCTAACATGGCCTTCAAACAGTGTGTACAGTATCTAACCCGTCCTATATTTGGATACACTTCACGGTGGAATCGAATCTGCACAATTTAACGTGAGGAACTTCAATCGTGTTCTAAACAGGTATGATGAACTCGTCCCACACCATATACATGTAGTATCTGAAGCGAGAGAATTCGCAGGATTTTCTCAACTACCACCCGAAGCGGGCATCATTGCGGCGAAAAGACTACTTAATGAAATGCATTATCGACTTGCTATCGAAGACTTCGTCGAGGTTTACGTCGATCAGCTAGATTACAACACGGTGGCAGTAACGCGTCGCTGTCCACATACCGATGACTCTGTGATACTTGTATCTCGTACGGCTTTCCAGTGGCCGAAGAACCCGAACGAAGCATCCTACCTGAGATCGCTTAGAATACCCGGTAGGCTCTGCTGCCGGAAAACTAACTAGCACTATATGAGTCACAAAATAATGGTGTCCTTAGTCAATCTAGGTAACCTGCAATTCACAGGGCTGTCACCATAAAGTAAAAAAACTAATCCAACTAATATTGGGGTGACTAATTATCAGCTGCGTATTTATCGCTTTCAAATAAGCTCTTGTACTATATGAGTAATTTGCTAGTTTAGCCCAAATGATTTATACCATGTAACTCTTTTGACGGAATGACGTTTCCGAAAAAAAAAAAAAAAAAAAACAAGTAGATTAAGCTGACATTTTACTTTAAAAAACTGGTGTTTCGACATAGATTCTTTTTTCTTAGGCTATACTAATTCTTGGTTGTTTTTCATACCGCCGTAGTGGAACGTAGCCGCACTAGGTAACTTGTAAACCTTTGAGCATGTTGGTATTCATGTAACTTGTATAGTTTATTTTCTCAGGAAAAATTCAAGAGGTCATTTTGCAAGCCAAGATAATGAAGGATTCGTCTTCCACGAACGTGTTCACCAAGGATCCAAAAATAATAAATGGCCTCACGGACTTCAAACTTGAAATAAGGAACAATTTCCCTGTATCGGAAAGTTTTATGGTGCACATTTCAGAAGTTGATTCGGAAAGCTGCGAAGTGAACTTCACAAACTTAACGCCGGGATCGGTGATCGCTTTCAGGTTAGTTGGAGTAGCTCCAGTCACGCAATTCGTATGATGCGGCAATGACGTGTTTATTTAATAATGATATGACCCATAGGTGCAGACATGAGGCCGAACGTGGACAAATTTTGTTTTGCACCAGGCGCCGGCTACTTAGCGGTAGGCCAATTAGAGTATTATTACTTAATAATTCGAGTTTTACACGAAATAATTGAGTCGCGTTACAAAAGTTGTTCGCTTTATTATATATTCGCTTCAACATATACTCTATGCTAAGTGTTTCTTTGCGAGTAATAAGCAAAAATGCCTCGTAATGACCTTATAATTTATTGTGGCCCTAGATCATTGGCGGTTTGATTGAAGGCTTCAAATATTTACTATCAATTGCATTTAACTGCAGAATCTGTGTTGGACCGGCGTCCCGGTCGAGTATGGAGGCTGCTAGATCAATGCTCCGCCCATTTGGCTACTTCAAGCACCCCGTCGATGTTCCGGCTGACGTGAAGGCAACAGTGGAAGCTCTCGACTTGGATGACATCAACAGAATTTTGTTCCACTGTGATAGGGAGGAGCAATCCGACGGTTTTGGCATCGGTGCCTATGTGTTGAACGATGTTGGACCGATGCTGTACTGCGGTCTACAAGGTAAAACATAGTTGAATTGTAGTGTTATAGTCGAAAAAAGTTACCGAAAAAATTATCCTCATAGAAAAGCACGAAAGTGTTCTCAGCCGAGAAAACAAATACGTGCGCCGTAGTTGAAACATGAAATAACGAAGTTGTAAATGCAACCTCTAGGTGACAGATTGGATCAGTTAAGATCCACAAAAGAATGTCTTCCATTGACGGACTCAACACCCACCGATGTCCTCCTAACTTTAGTCAACTTACCCTATGAAACAATTCAATGGCTTCACGAAAAAATATGCACAGCTGGTTTTCGGACCTTTTGGTTCCAGCTCAGCAACGGTCGTGTTGTGCAGGGACTGGATCTTAAGATCTGTACGTTGGTTGCCGACGATAGTTTGCTTGACGGCATCTTACGAAGAAACTTTCTAATTGCCAAAGACACAAAAGGAGAGTACCGAGAGATTCGAAGTTTAAGTGAACTCAATGCGTGCGGCCGTCCCCTGAACCTTGGAGAACGGCAGGAGTTGATATACGAATTCTTCAATCACCATTTGATTGTAGATACTGATCAGATACCGGGACTTAACTGGCCTGTGGAACGCTCTACGCCGGTGTTGGCGGCGCTCGCACCTTATCAGCCAGATTTGATTGCCCTACACGACTATCATATGTTGCATCGATTTCGACTTTCGGCACTAGCTTTCCTACGGCCTGATATCGAGGGTCTGCGAGAGTACTTTGGCACCTCGGTCGCGATGTACTTCGCTTATGTGGTACACATTAATCTGTGGTTGCTGGCATTAATCGTCGTCCTCGGAGCGCTACGATATTTCGGCTTCTCACCAGGGACGATCGGCCTTGCTTCATCAGTTTGGCTTTTTCTCATGAGCATTCACTGGAGCATGAAAAATAAACACCTACGAAAACGTTGGCATCTCATGACGCACTTAACGCAAATGGTACCAGCGACGCTGTTTTTTTCAGTCCCACTATCGCTGATCTTCCTTATCCTACATGCCGGCTCCATTCATATGGTTGCAATCATAACTGAGCACAAACGCCTTTCAGGTTGGCCCGACAACATTGTGCTTATGATATCTATTTCAGTCATGACCATATGCTATAGTATACTGGTGTATTCGTACCGGTGGATCTTGTACTTAGCCTTTGACAGCGTCTTCCCAGTATCGGATCTGCCGACAAATCTTAGCTTGTTCGAGAGCTCCATGCTTCTTTTCGATGGTTGGACACGACTGAGCTACCTATTCTACACAGGCCTTTATTTACGGCAGGATTTCTCGTTTACCCTTTATAGTTTTCTTCTCACGGCCTACTTGAAGGATCTAATTTGGTGTTGCGTGATCTTTCTGGCAAGTGGTGCCGGGCAAGTATTAATATTTAACTTCATCCGCCGAGTATCTCACGGGTCGTTAAGCTACAGTATCAGCGTACAGTCTGTAATGGGCGCTGTTGGACAAGCCCGCCTTCCCCTGTTTCCAGGCACGCTCCGAGGCACGATACGCCAGTGGGACCTGTTATTTTGCGTGGTCTCATTTCCTAACGTAACTAATTCGCTCATTGTTGCATGGATAGCCAACATTGTCGAAAGTTTTTTAGTATACCATTTGCTGATATTCATTCATAGACGACCAATACGCTGCACCAGTTCTCCTGACCCTGAAGGTTACACTTGGAGAAGTCATACATGGCTTTTATGTATACTGGGAATGTTTCTTCAGGAAAAGCTAATTAATCCGGCGCCTAAGCAAGACAGATTTATCCAATTGAGCCTAATCGGAATTCTGATGATTACTGCAAAGAAGTTTTTCGATGTTTTTTTCTGAGGTTTGCGGCAATATTCACGAGTTAACTTAACCGCTATGAAAATCCAAGTCAATTATAATGAGCATCCAGTTTCTAATTAGCTTTTGAGTAAATACGGTTTTTGTATACATTGCGGTGTTTAATGTGAACGTTAGTGATAAAATTATCTGACCTAGTCCTTCCCGACTAACCAAATTATAACAACTTTTCACAAAAAACAACTTGAATTTTACAGAAAAGGCGTTTAGTCATTCACGATAGCAGTAACATTTTTGCTTTGAATTCAATCCTACCCATCATTATTTAAGTCCTGTTAATTTCCTTTGCTGTATTAATAATTCGGTTTAATATCGTACCAGTATCCACTAAACCAACTTGCTATTGCGTAGGGAAGCAATAGCATAGAGGAACTCAGCAAGAAAAAAATTACAGTAATAATGATTTGCTTAAATAAAAATAGTCAAGCTGGAGCTATGGCATACAGTGCACAGAAGGTTAGAAAGTTTGCACTAGAGAAACAGTGGCCAGTTTCCTGCCTGCAGAATCTGCCTTAACGACAAATTTTAGGTTTCATTGCTTAAGGAGTCATGCATGAAAATACTCTCGATGGCTAATTATTATCATGATGTTTATTTATAGGCATTTATGTGATCTAAAAGCTAACCCGAAGGCGTTTCACTTAGCCAGGCACTGCACAGCCCTGTCTCCATGGGGTAATACGATTCCAATAGGAGCTTTGTCAACAACGAAATTCAGCTTTTCCTAACCGTAAAACAACTAGAAATAGATTAGTCCAAAAAAGTTAGGTGTAGGCCCACCTTTGCTAACGGAACAACGAATAGAAGTGAGAAAAATATTGAACCCTTTGGTCGAACAACCGTGAACCTAACCAGCTAATAATTTTTTTTCATAAATTTCTAGGGGTGATGACGCACCTAGCATATATTCGACCGCGCAACGATTTAGGGCATCCATTATGTGCGAATGTGCGTGATGGGGATTGGTTAATGGACTACCTGATATCTCGCCTACGACCTTTTAAATCCTGTAATGGATTTGCCGATCTTCTTCGTCGGATGTTCGAGCCCGTTAGAGGAGTGCCGCACTACCTGAAGCCATGCTACTTCGATGCCGTTATCACTTCACTCTTCACTCAACTACTCGAAGCATCGTGGCAGAAAATGTCCCGGTTTGTACCTGACATGTTTTGCTTTATTTTTTTACCACGTAATGTCGTTCTCTACAAACGCTGATTACGGTATTCACAGGAGGAATAAAGAAAGCTTTCAGAACGTCACGTACTTATAAAAGTTTGTCGTAGACAATTGATCAGATCAAATTAAAGTTTTTCGTACTTATAAGTACTTTCTATTTCTTCACAAGAAACAGGCCTTGGCCATAGATTTTAAGGCACCGAATCGCATAGCGTACAGAAAGCGACATCTACGCTAGAAGGGATTAGCTTTACCATGAATTAGCTGAAATTTGGTCACTGAAAGTATTTACATTTATAAATGTTACATGTTCCTTTTGCAAACATACGGTGCGTGTTTTAGATTTGTTACGTGTGGCGGCAGCTTCATCCGCGAGCTCGCTCTAGCCTCAGTTATTCTCACAAGTTACATCTACGACTCCCCGCTACCACCGTTAAGTAAACGTTTGAATCTTTCGTTATCCTATAAGATAGACGCCCATACAAGAAGTCCGACCTTGCAGTGTCCTACGCTTGCAGCTGGTCTTCCTCACTTTGCGACAGGATATATGCGAAACTGGGGTCGTGATACGTTTATCTCTCTGAGGGGAATGCTTCTCCTGACCGGACGGTTTGCCGAAGCCAGGTTAGTTCGCGCCTATTCGTAAGCTTAGTTACTAAGTATTTCTCGATAGTTGATTCTAAAAAATACGTGCGTTTTTTGGGGGGTTTGAACAGGCAAATTATTCTCGGTTTCGCTGGTGCTCTCCGTCACGGCCTCATCCCGAATCTACTGGATCGAGGCATAAACAGTCGCTACAATTGTCGAGACGCTGTCTGGTTCTGGCTAGAATCGATTAAACAATACGTCATAGGGGTACCTAATGGAGAAGCTATTCTGAATGACAGCGTTTCACGGCTATATCCAACGGATGACAGTCAACCACAGGGCACAGATGTAGCAGTGCGTACAGCCTTCTAAGTTAAGATCTTAACATTTTTTATATGCATCGGAACCAATATTACCAATTCGTCCGTCTGAGTTTATTAAAAAATAGTCATCATCATATACATAAACATAAATGGTGGTATCGCTTGAAGGTGATGGACCTCCACGAGGTAATGCAAGAGGCGCTGCAACGACACTGGAGTGGAATTTCATTCCGTGAAAGAAATGCTGGAAGCCGCATTGATTCACAAATGAAAGATCCAGGCTTTAACGTAACGGCTGGAATTAACCACGATACAGGCTTCGTATTTGGTGGAAACATTCACAACTGTGGTACTTGGATGGACAAAATGGGTAGCGTACCTGGGCGCAATCAAGGTGAACCTGCGTCACCCAGGGACGGCAGTGCCGTTGAACTAGTAGGACTTTGCATGTCGGTCGTCCAATGGCTCCACGACATCAACGCAAAAGGACTCTACCCGTACAGGGGTGTTCGTAATGATGACGGTACACATTTGTATACTATCTTTGCTATATCTTTCTTACGAACAACTAATTGTAAAGTGCTTCATGCACTGGCATAGGTTTACTGAAGTTCGCCCTTCCACTAAACTGCCCATCACGTACTTCTGAGCGCCACTTGCGCCGGAACCGTTCGCACACTGTTACATCGATGAGGTCTACTCCAGCTTAATAGTGTGATATAAAGCAAAAAAAGAATAGAAGGAAAATAAAATAGTGTAGTAGTACTTTTGTAAGCACATGTTCCAAAATTCATGATTTAGATACACTGCGTTAGAATATCAGTTTGTTTTCAAACGCTTTATTTGCTCATTGCCTCCATTTTGTAGGAATCAGATACGCTATGATGGACGGGTGTCAATTTAATTGTTACGATGTACCTAGAAATATATTTGTACCATTTTCTGCTCCCGCAGATTCTCTAACTTCGTTTAATGAATGGGCTAGCCGCATCAAGACACATTTCGAGCCGCATTTCTGGGTTCCTGAAGAAGGCGCAGGTCCTTACGAGAGGCAGGCCGACCTTATTAACCGACGAGGTATCTACAAGGACACAGTCGGCTCTGGGATACCTTGGGCTGATTATCAGTTTAGACCCAACTTCACCATAGCTATGGTTGTGGTAAGTATACGGTTATATAGAGAAATAATACAAGACTTATTTTTTTTTTTCGGTTTTTTAGGAAAGCATTCGATTCCCGTATTCAATGCTAACATGCACAACAATCGTAAATTTAATCACTATTAATTTTGTCATCTTAAGGCTCCCGAATTATTCGATCGTGCTCACGCACAGAAAGCTTTGGCCAACGCTGATCGACTATTAAAGGGTCCCTTGGGAATGAAGACTTTAGACCCTGGGGATATGAGTTACAATGGAAATTACGACAACAACGATGCAACCGCCGGTTTCAACTATCACCTAGGGCCGGTAAGGTCAAATCAGCGAACAAGCCTGTCGTTCAGGAACTTTTTCACTAGTAGTCCATATGATTAGCTTAGCAACTCGCCTGAGTTTTCTTTCTGAGAACTGAGCCAGATCAGTGTCAACGTAGGTAGATGACAGTAAGTACTCAACGAAGATTTATTGCTCTTTCTATATTACTGGAGAACCTATAGAATAAGCGTTATGCCAAAAGACAGAAGCTTTAATCAGTAAGTGCATCGAATAAATGGCGTTAACAAATCAGTGTTACCTAAGTTAGTCACACTGCAGAAAACCTGTAACGCAGCTGTTCGTACGATTCCAGGAATGGTTGTGGCCAATGGGTTACTTCCTCCGCGCACAACTGCTCTTTGCTGACGATGTAGAGAAGGCACGTCGTTCCGCGCGCCGCACTCTGCAGGCACATTGGCGTGCCCTCCAAGAGTCACCATGGCGAGGTCTTGCTGAGCTTACGAACAGTAACGGGGCCGCATGCTATGCCTCTTGTCCTATTCAGGCTTGGAGTCACGGTTGCCTCCTTGAGCTACTCTATCAATTGTACCACAACGCGTAGTCGTCGAGCAATAGTCTATGGATAGACCTAAATCAGCACAAACACTGCATCTATCCAATCTGTTGCCCGGCATTAGATTTTGTTATTCTCGGTGATAACAAACGCATCACCCGATAAACTACAATATTATGTTATTTAACTGGACTTGAACAGCATTTAACCACTAATGAGCCTAAAGAACGAAATATGTAAGTCAGTGATTATAGTATTTATTGTATCGCCAATTCCAGTGGAAACTCAGAGCGTACGTAATAAATAAGTACATGTCGATATGTCGTCCTTACCCGGACTTGAGAGCTAAATAACGACCCGAAATTTCTATTTTGAATGCATGTATCGCTTGCTAACTTAGAACGTTAGTTATTCCCTACTCGTTCGCTGGTATGGTAAATAACACTTAACCCGTTAGTGCAACTTCGAAATAAAGTGACAACTTTGCTAAAATATAAATAAATGCTAAAATTTATTTCACTGCAATATTTATTTATATTACTATATTGAATAATGCGACATTTTCTCCGAATAAGAAATACACACAATCTGCACTGTACGCTTTTTTCCTTTTGCTCTAAGTTTGCATTTCTATATTTATCGTTACAAAAATGCCTTTAAGAAATCTACTTGTCGTCCAAGCGCCAGCATCGCACGGCGATACGTCCTCATCGACGTATTTAAGAACCGTGACTAATGACTAAATTAATTGTTTTGTTTAATTCAAAGTAAATAAGACCGTTATATTTACTTAGCTCGACGAATGAAAGAATTGTCGCCAGCAACACTGGAGAGACATACGGAGACCGTGTGGCTACGATGCCAAGCGCGTTCACCTAGGCTTATCGTGATAGCGGCAAACAGTCACTAAAGCCGAAAGCGAATAAGGAATCCGGGCTGAATATGAACTTGAATAAAGTACACTTTGATTAAAATTCTTAAAATACGCCCACGGGTGGGCATTTGTTTACGAGATGTGCCAGCTTAGTCCAGCACTGAGAAGATTCATATTAGCTGCACCTCGAGAGTCGAACCTCTTTCCTGTCCTTCGAATAAGATTGGCATAACGTTTCAATCTTAGTTGTGTATTTACTTCTTTCAGTTGTACTGCAACTCACTCTTATACACAGGCGCTTCCTGGGTCTTAATATTAAAGCGCAGTTTTCAGTATTCTGTCCGTAATCTATCCGTTTGAATTTAAAATCTCGCGGGCTTGTGCTGTCTGCAGCGCTCCTTGTTCTTTCCCTCATCCTATGTTTATAACGTTGGCCCTTTCTCTCCTTGTAGTCAGTCGTCAACTGGAGGTCGAGTGAATGCGAGTCTTTGACTGAGGTGTAGTGAAAACCGTAATGGCGTTAAAAATGTATTTTTATTATCGAAGCAAGTCTTGCATACCATGAAGTATCAGGTGCGTTGATTGCTATCTGTAACGAGTGAAGGAATAGTTAATTCTCGGCTTAGCTCGATGTTAGGCCACTTGTGAACTCCCTGTTGGACGGTTGTTTTGCGTCGTCGAAAATCGAATACTGTATGTAGCCATGCTAATGATACTATTACGTTCGATCGAGTCGAGCAGGTACTCTTAACGTATTGTGCGATAGCTGTGATCGTTCCCTGACGTACGGAATCGGCCCAAAAAAGCGTTTCGGCCATTTGGTCACCAGACGATAATTTGCAATATTTTGCTATGCTCGATCGGTTGGTGTCGCTAGTGTAAGCGCGCCAATAATTCAGTCGTTGCAGATTATGTTAAAGCTCATTCTCTCTGCGTTCGCCCTGCGCCGCCAAGGCGCTGTCTGCGCCGCGCGGCCGCCTATTAAGAAGCTTGATGGGGCCCATGCATAAGCTGTGGGAGGCTGATGAACATTTATCTTTTACAAAATAAAAAAAAAAAAAGTCAAAATATGCTACTAATGCGTGCAACGTCGTTTATTAAAATAGTAGGTGATGGGAGCAGTTACTGGTTATAAAAATAGTGACATTAATATTAGCAATTGTACCTGCCTATATATATATTGTATATATATATATATATAATAAAAAGCAGCTTTTGCTTTGTGAATGTTAAAATAATAGTCTAACGCAGGAAGTTCGAAATTCCCAGGTGGATCACATTCCGCTGAGAGATAATAACATTATCTGATTAAACTATTATTATATAGATAGAAACAGTAAGCCATGTAATGTTGGAACGTCGGTTATGGAGACAATATAACGGTACCACCTATGGTCCAATCTAGGGCGTCAACGCAGTGTAAATTAAAAATGCTCACTTTTAGTGGCGTGACTTTGTGAATTTGCCTTTTTACCCAGTGGTGTAAAGTAGGGCAGGTCCTACTGTTAGCAAATTACAACAATATTACCTGTCAAAGTGATCGAACTTTTTCACTACGCGGAGCGTACTGAATCAGCGTAGTTTTAGCTCCTTCATTTTCCTTGCAGTGTACTAGGAGCATGGGCAGTTATCGGTGGCCGCGTGTGTTTAGTTCAAAAAAAGGCCAGGTTCTAATTCAACTTCTAACCAAGTTGCTGTTACGGGATGCGCTTAGGGCTAATTTTAGTTATGAAAATTTGATTTCACATGTCGTGTAAAACATGTAGATCGTTCGATATGATAAAACAAAACAGTTAAACGAACAAATATTAAATAGGACAAGGTATAATCATCTACGATGTTTGGGCATTTGAATGTGACAAATGTCGGACCTAGATGTTAGTCGATGTTGTAATTAATGCAGCTGAGAAAGTTGTGCTACATCTGGGGCAAATAATAGCGGCTAATTTTGTTGCTGCTTGTATTGGCCTTATGTCTGGCATCGTAATTGGCCTGATGCAACTTTGAAAGCTTCTGGATCTGATAGAATATGAACGAAGAATGTGCGTTCTATTCTATATAAATATAGCACTACATGACTGACACAAACATTATGGAGTATATATATATATATATATATATATATCAGATGTTTGCGTTAGACGTAAGCTTTCCCATAGACCACTAATATGGATTTGAAGCAGCACCGTTTATTTGTGTAACGTGAACGATTTTAACTCCAGCTTGACTGGTGGCCAACGAAACGATCGAGAGGACGTCATTTTTCTAAGTTACCTGCATTGATCGCACTATTTATTCTGCGCAAAGTTAAGCTCAGCTTTGCTCAGAGCTCTCACTAAGACCAGCCTCAGGATCATCATTGGCCTTTTAAATATGCTGCCTAAAACACTATGCCGTTTTGTCGAATCTGATGAATGGCCTCACCAGTCTGCACTTCCGGAACTCCTATCATATCCGTGATCGGGGAACAAATTAACTTGACTGTCGCCGCTCCTTTCAGGTTCGCTTACGTATTAGGAACGTTAATAATCCGAAAACAACGTATCTATGAACACTGTCCAGCGCAACGGTGTACTCCAGCGGTTTTAGTATGTGTTACACATTGTAGTAAACCTACTCTATTGGAAAAATAGTCGAAAAAACTACATAAATTTAATATGATAGCTTTTTGTGGCTTTTTATTGCCAGATGAAGGCCCTTGGCACTTACAGGCATACTCCTCTATCTTTAACTGTGAAGATATATTCTAGATCATTGCCATAGGTTCGCGTGAAAACGACGACTCCAGTGAACAATCACATACGACCGAATGTCCATTTAACAGCACAGATCTCTATTGACTCGTTGCTTTCTATATTCTTTTTCTTCTATATCACTTTTGGCATATAGATTGATGAATTAAAGTGTACTAGACTTATCACTAGACAATCGGTTTAAGTTTGTTGTACCGTAGAGTGACAACCAATCCGGCAGTAACCCAATGCAGGACAAGCCGGCACCGATAAAGGTTTTTAGCGAAGATTTCGAAGAAAGGAACGGCGTGTGTTAGAAGCCGCCTTAGGGAGCGTCCGTGTATAAGGTTTTAGGGATTGCGCATGTGGGCCTGAGACCGTCTCTAAGACCTCCGAAGCTTATGTTGTTTTTCTTCAGTTTCAACTTGCATGTCTATTACAATAAGGGGTTAGTTGAAGCTTTGGTAGGAAAGAAGAACTTAACGTACGTAGCTAGCAGGTAGGCTGTATGTATATTTCTCCTTCTGTAATGCTTATATGAGCGAAACTAACTTTTCTATTTTATGGCAATATAGAACTTTCATTGACATTCAAGTGAAGCCAGATTTAAAGAATAAAAGTTACACACATGAACTAGTAACACAAAGCTGAGTAGCGGCGGAAAATTTTCTGGATGTGGGCATGACTAGTTCTCAGCAATTACTTTCCTCTCTTCGAAATCACCGCCATAAGCAATTTCTGGCCAAAATATGAATGCGATTTATTATACTTTGTTTGGTTAGTTGCTCTAGAGAGGGTCGTTGTAGTAGTGGTAGTTTTTAGCGTATGGGTCATTGCACGAGATAAGGTAGTTTCAATATTAAATGCTTTTTCGGCCGTACTGATACACTGTAAATTGCATCATATGATAATTTTTTTAACGTAGTACAGACAGGGTTCGATTGGAACGCCTTTTTTTTTTTTACTATATCAGCTCTTAACTAGTTGATGGGTTGTATGTGATCGTTATACTCATTCGATTTTACCGCCTGTCCACAAGCTCAATACCGTCTCTGCGGATTCTCATTTCTCTAGCCAGACTAATTGATCCCAGTTGGGATTATCAGCTTTAGAACTTTCGAAGCTTTAAGCATTTTGTGGATCACGGTGTATCTGATTCCTCCTTAGAAGGTTTAGTGTCGAGCGCTTGAAAAGACTCATCAATTTCGGCTTTCGTTAAACGAACGACTTCAGTTACTTTTCATTTAATCAGTTTTCTCCCTCGGACATAAACAGAGCTGACAAAGAGTACACTTGCGAACACCGTTCTGAAGGCATGGCTGGATGAAATCCGTAGAAAAAAGTTTGATACCTCTTAAGATACAACTGTTGGATCGTTTCATGACTGCGTTAGATGGACTACAGGTCAGATACCTAATTAAAAATCAACGAATTTCGTAGGCGTAGTCATAATATATGAATTTCTCACGATAGACTATGATTGACCTTTTTTTTTTCGGTAACTTTGGAACCTTATCAACGCTTAGCGCAAGCGGATACTTAAATATAACTTTCATAAAATATTTATTTTTGCGCTATCGATACAATCCAGTTACGCTATCTATACTGTAATAGATCCTATAAGCAACAACTGGTTTCATCCAACTTTGTTGGAGGGGACCCATTAAATCTAGCAAAATTAATCTTCCAGGTAGTGAATAAGACAATAATGGATACGATTCATTGACTTCAGTGAGGACCTAGTACTCCGGTGGCTCATAGAAGATGCACATTCTTGCATAGGTCATGAGCTTTTCAAGCTCTACTTTTTATGCGGATGTTCGGAATAGGGCCGAAACAATTGACGTTGGCTCCAACCAGAGACGCTACCTCTCGTTTCTGTGCCTGTGTGCATTATTTACAACGTCATATTCGCGCGCACTTTAAAATCATTCGTCAGAGTGTGACATTTTACGATTTAGTGCAGCTTTATCTGTATTGGATTTTACCATGCAAAACAAAAATAGCGTTTTTTTTATATTAACTATTCTGTTAGGCGCGGTTTATACAGCTTGCTTGATAATGTGCTGGTAATTGGCCGAAGGGCTTCTTGACCCATTTCAATAATATTAATAATGATAACTATTCTATTGCAAAACGCCACCTACATCTCCGTGCAAAATTGCAGCTCCGCGTCGATATGGCGATAATTATTAGCGAAGCACCGATTCAGGTTTTATACTGTTACTTAATAAAACTCATTCTTGCATATTTTTGTTATTGCTATATATTTTTCTATCACTTATATCAACACCAGCATCACTTTCCAAACAGCTACATTAATATCTCGGTTATTCAGCAAACGTTTTGGTAGCCGTAGCAGTTTCATAGCCTTCATATTTCATTGTATGTTCGCCTGATCCTGAGTCTACAGACCCCACCTTCTCACAGACTTCATCTTTTCTGTGAGGTGTAAACATATAATCAGCAAGCCCCTACAAAAATGCATTTCCGTTTTCATAATATACACAAAGCTTATGCCTGATGAAATTTCCGACTCGTGTTTTCTCTTGGAACACATTTACGTTTTGTACACATGTAGAGTACCGGAAAACCGTGATGACGGAAGTGTGTTTAGAACCTGTCGCGGCAGTCTAGTAGAAGCCTGAACAAGACAATAAAGGCTTTCTGTTTTGCTTCTTCTCCCAGCCTCACCCTTCAGTTTAGGTCACTGCTGCCAATGGATTCTTATATCCTGATAATTATAATGATCGTCGTTATGACGGTCGTCAGCGGCGGTGGCCGAAGTCCGCTCACTTTTGTCCTATAAAAGTGGACGACTTTCGCACAAGCGATGCTCCCGCGAAACTATGTGCGACAGTAGCATCATCTGAAGCCTCCATGTCACGGGCAGCGGAAACCATCGTTGATGCCGAGGCCATATCGACATATGTTCTAATAACTTTCTACGAGCTTGTCGTATGAAAATCGACAAATGTGTACATTGAATAGTGCGTACGTATACAAACAGAGAGGAACCTACAGTAGAGAAGGGACAATGTGGAAAATGCTAAATTGATGATACATCGATGGCTACCGCAGGCAGCAATCATAACAACAGTAGCAGCAGCTAATCGAATATCATCCTATACTATATATTTTCATATATACTATATACATCAAGCAATATCGATAAGCATCTTGGAAAATGGAAAACAAATTTCAGGCAGCATGTTTTACTGTTATCTGCTGTTCGCGTTGTAAAGTAAGACTGGACCGCCATTACGCGAGAATCGCTTATCTTCTAAATTGTAATTAGAAATTTATTTAAAAATAAATAAAAAAAGGTTTTGGTGGAGTCATGCTACGCTGAACTGAATATGAGATAAGAAGGCCAAATGAACTGGCCATATCTACAACGATAATAATAATAATAAAAAATAAGCAGCGTCACAGAGGAAGCTAAATAAAGGGGAAATTTACATTAGAAGAGGTTTTTAACGAAGTGTATCATTGATGCCGTATTATTATCGAAAAAAAATTCAGCTCTCCAAGATGAGAGGCAGGTACTCTCTAGCAGATATCGTTGGCTCATATATAGAACATACAATTTTAATTAGTATAGATGGATTAGCATCTATCGAGAGGTTCTAGCAGTATTCATTTGTTGCCTGGATAACGAAACTGCATTATGTCCAATCAGATTTGACAGAGAAACCGATGGTCGTCCTATTGCGCATGCTAATGATTGATATTACAATGTATACTTTACAGATTTCTCGTACACAAAGTGAGTAACTTATAACTTAAGGCGCTAAGCATCGTTCTCCGATCCCGATGTCCATTAGTGTAGTTTATATCCTTTGGATAGTAGCACAAAATACCAGTATGCATTTCTAAGCTTACGCGATGTAAGCAAACAACCAGATAAACATTGTCGTTTAATGGCCGAGATAAATTCGACCTACTGAAGGATTTCATATGAAAACCATAAGAAGGCCCTTCAAGTCATCTAATTACCTCTATTTGTACAAAACACTGAATTTCGCCGAAGAGATGGAACACGTGATAACTGGTTTGTTCGGTTATTTCATCTTATGTAACATATATTTGGCAATATTATTTATATATTAACATCCTTTGAAAAACCAAATAAAAACAAAAGGAGAATTGATATATCGTTGCATACTATTGAGCCTTTGTGATGTCCAAGTGAATGCATCATAATGCTCAGGACTAAATATTTGATGTGATTCCCTGAGATAATAACATTACGACTCTGAGTCAGTGGTGTTTTTGCCCATATTACACGGATTGCGAAATTAAATAGATAGAAAAAAACTAAAAATTAGCTTATTTTAACTTTCTCATTTGTTTCAAATATTATCGTCTTTAAAGATCAAAGAACGTCAAGATAAACAATGGAGGCAGAAATTGATCGAGCCCTAAAAATTACTTTTCGTGACTGATCGGTTTAGCTGTAACAGGATAAGAAGAGGAACAAAGTTGCCGTCCCTTCCCACGTTTTGGGAACGGCCTGTGCCATTGCGGAATATTGACAAGTATGATAAATTTAGTGTTTTTAGCATGGCTGTTTATGATGCAAATCATTATTTTACTTTATATCCGATTTATCTGTTTGCCGACTATCATCACCATGTTAGTGTTTCTATGCCGCAATTTTGGGTTGTGCCTGGGGCAAGAATTTGTGCCAGGTTGAAAGCGACCCATCGACAGTTATAGGGAGTAGAACGGATATACGATGACTTGTCGCGGGCAAATTTACTTTAGATAAGATGCCGAACTGATGGCACTAGCAGACAACAGTATGAGATATAGGGCCATTGCTGGGATTCGCATCGTTTTGCAGTTGACCGCATAAACGATACAGAGTTTTACGTGGCCACCGAACTCTACAGCAAACCTTTCTTGAAAAGCTGTGTAAATGGTGACGTTATTCATTGTTTAATACTAGAATAGACGTTCAATAGTTCCTGACAACTACGATCGTTCCAATGCAAATGTGGCTACGTATTATAACCCCACAAAGAAGAGATGCTGGTCGTATGGAAGGATACACTTGACAATGTGGATCCAGACTAAATTGAGCCATTTTGTATTGTTCTGATATGCTTTACTATCATCGGTGACATCGGTTGGAGTAAGCTAAAGTGGGATCCCCTTCAAGCTAACTGATGCCAACAGCTGCAGATTTCATTGTAACATATGGTCAATTTCACATGGGATTTTTTTTTTACATATAACTCCCTATAACAACTACGTTATTCGACCAACTGGCTCTTGCAGTGAAACTAATTATTTTTGCGCCAGAACAACGAACAAATACTTGGACGAATTATTTGGTAAAACAATTATCTCAGATTCAATGCGCCGTGTCTAACGTGTGCCTTTTGAGCAGTACGTGTGACTTCAGTAAAATACCGACCGACCGATCGACCATTTTCCTAGCGTCATTACGACCCTTATAGGAATTCAGGCAATGGAGCACTTACCGTTACATATGTTTAGATAAATTTGACATTCAACGAGAACAATTCATATATATAATGTCTCAAAAAATAAAACAACAATAATAGCATCAAAAGAAGATTTCCTACCGGATAATCTAACTGAGTCATCGTTATGTACGTGCCATCTTCACTGGAAGCCTTCATAAAAGATCTACAAATTTTAATATTTATATCCTATAACTTTACCTCAATTGTCAGTAATACAGTACTCCGAGGTGGAGAGACCTTTGACGCTACATATGTTGTCTATGTAACGTTGTTCATAGATCCACTCGATTTGTTTTATATAATCGTATTTGTTAACTGAGCTGGAAATGATAATAGCTATGATAAGCCAGTCTTGCGAAAGTTGAGTGTTTAAAATTTAGGCAGCTGCGCGAAACGCTTTTACGGGTATCTTTCAAGGTAGAAATGAGATAAATTCGAAAAAATTGGCAAAAAATCAGTCTGTAATGTAGTTTACGAAGCGAAGTTATTATGACTCGCTAGCAACAGATAATAGTAAAATCTAGCGTGACCAATGACAAGCTTTTTTTTACGGTTCGAAATTAGAGCATTAGACACGAACGACTTTTGGTTTCAACAAGATGGGCTAACTTGTTACGCCTGCTATTGTTATGTGTTAAGCAATCTGCTTAAAACCATATTCCATTGTAGCTTCCCAGCCTAGGCTAACGCTGAAGTTAAAATATGCACAGAAAGCTGCTTTTGTTTTCCAATCCATAAATAAAAAGTATACATGACATTTCCCTATATATCCATCCTATATATCACACGGAAAGACAAAAGCATCTTCCTTGGAATTGTCGAGCTCGTATTCAGATAATTGAATGACCATAATATAAAGACCTTATTCTCTACGAACATATCTTGGTCGGCTTTTTATTAGGTAAGTCGTGTTTTTGTTGTATGTTTAAATTTCGACACTTATTATTCCCTTATTTCAGCGGCTTCCCCCCAGCTTGAATAAGGAGATTTTACCGGCTGCTGGGGGGCAGTCCAATCTTCGAAGCCCTTCAGGGAAAGCATTTGTCGGAGTCAGTTCGGTTTATTCCATCAGGGCTTCGGTCAGATTTGCACTATTCTGCATAATCTTCATCACGCTATATTGTCTCATATACAGGTGAGTCGCCATCGCTGATGTACTAGAGATCCTTAAGAGATGCTATTTTTGGCGGTACAAGAAAAGTAGCCGTGTCGATCCGCCCGCCTAAAGTAAGTCCAACGCAATGAAAGCGGCTGATTGCACCTGTCAAAGTTATTAAGTAGTTTAATGTATTAGCAGAACAAATATTCTCAACGTAGACTGCTATTTATGGCATATTGTCAAAGGTCATGGTTATTTCATTGGTTTGAGTATCATAACAGTTGGCTATAATAATTCTCGCTTACCCTTTTGGATTAGCACCTCAGTCCGTTCAGAATTCTATCTCCGTTCGTGGGATCGCTATAACGGCTGACTCGCAATCCACAATTGATTTCATAGTGCAACTAATACGAGGTGTGTTTCCATACAACATGGCGTATGTGTTATGAGGGCTTTTTAGATTCACACTGGGTTCAGATTCATTTGCGCAGAAGCATTTGACATGGGCGTAGTCGTCCGTGACTCCTTACAAAGTCTAAATTATTTCAGCATATATTGGGCTACCAGAGTTTTTTCTTGTTTATACGCTTATTCTAATAATAGATAACGCGATAGATTCAGAAAAGACCGTTCAGATGCACACTTATGCGATTTACTGTGCTTAAGGTTAAGGATTAACCAATCGCCGCCATTATATGTATGTGGATTTTTTTTTTTATGAAAAATTGTTTCATCGGAATAAATTAGAGGAAAAACCTTATGTGCATTCAAATTATGTGTTTTGTAGCAATTGTTACTTACGAAGTCTATATATGTGTATTAATTAATCATTTGCTACACATACCACGAATATACCCGTGTAGGTGATCTGTATTCACACAAGTTGTCTAGTCGACAGACTTTGATACGTGGAAGTTCAGTATAGTACCCTTGCTGTAAGCTGCTCTGCCTAAAAACCTCAGCCTTCTAGCTAGTGTTTTGATAGGGCCATTGGAGATAAATACACACATCATTGAATCATCCTTCTAGTTGCCGTTCGATCTCTAATCACAGGACAGTGGTAAACGCTATTTACATAAATCATCATGTATATATACATCGTAAACGCACGATCGTTTCGTTTCGGATGTGCAAGTATAATCCGGTAAATAGTGCCAAGCGCTTTTACAGAGTTCCCTAAGTATAAAAAATTAATTTCATGGTTGTATCTGATGCATAGCTTGCTTAGTGCATTTCATATATAATGCATTCGCCTGTGAATTGCTTTCTGTAAAAAGCGAAACATAAAAATAATAAAGATAGAGCTCAGAGGAGAGAACGTTTCCCAACTCTTGCTTAAGTATCCGACACAGTTCGTCGACGGACAAATGGTTACCATGGACCACGCCATGTACCGCACTAATCTTTTCAAGATCCAGTAGAAACGATTCGTATTCCAGTAGCTTTGGGTTGTTACTGACCTCCTAAGCCTGGCCATCCTTCGTCAAAATGCATGATGCTAATCAGGACAATAACATGACTATAAAGACAAGCACTGCTCTTCCATTTGATACAGCTTCCAAAGAGCAAGGCCTCAATGGGGGCCTGGTACAGAATGCAGACGGTGTAATGAAAAGCCGAAGGCGAAGAAACAAGCCTAGATATTTTTCCAATCCTGTATGCATTAGATATCAGTAAGCAGTCAGGAGCAATTTAAATACCTGACTAGATTTCAAGCAGAAGAACTGCTGCAATTTAGCTACAAAGTTCAAGAACTTCAACAAGACTAGGATTAGAATTAGCTGTTGTTAATATTTTGATCTTGTTAAGTTAACGATCCAGTTGGAAACCCAGTATAAATGAGAGGAACTTCCTCAGCGACGTGTATTTCCATACATGTTCCCGGATAGTTCATGTAGCTATAAGTGATAGAAATGTCGGCTTGAGTCTTTTTCAACCAGATAGCCATAGACTCTTCGAGTTCGTTTAATCAATAAATTTGTTACTTCTTTTTTTAACAAATTAAAAAGAAGTGTAAATGTTTATGATGCTTTAGTCCATTTTAGTGTTGTGTTAATAAACCATTCATAGTAAAAAACTATAAAGTTTAAAGGTAAAGAGGATTGAAATAAATGTTTGAAAACTTCTAGAAGAAAGTTCCTAAATATCTAGAAAGTCGTAAGATTTCAAACAGCAAAATAGGTTTAAATAACTGTATTATTGATATTTGCTAAAAGCGGTTTCTCATTCTTCTTTTAGATAGAATTTTTCATAAGTTCCTATGCCGCGTACTATTACTATAGCAATCTGAACCTGAGTTTGTTCCTAAGATCGCGCATTAGAACTTACAAGATGCTGTTCTGCATTTAGTAGGTACGAAATATTAGTCATTCATTATGGTTCTGATCTTGCTTATACTATCCTTCAGCCCACTGGGCACTTGGTCCAATGAGCCAGGAGTTGAGCCAAATCTAACCTGGGTTCTACGACAAAGAGAAACGTTCTTGTCTATCCTGCAACCGACTAATCTGACAGCCCTTATTACGCCATCGGAGAGTCGGTGTGACCCCCAGCGTCTACTAACCATCATAGTCTGCTCAGCAGTCGTTAACAGCAATGCCCGACAGGCCATTCGAGAAACATGGGCAACCGAAGCTCCACGAGATAGCCGTGTATTTTTTCTCGTCGGTCGACCACCGCATAGCAACGAAACTCAACAGCAGGACAAACTTGAGGTAAATTTAACTTTTTCAGCAAATTGTCGGAACCAATGGGCCAATAATACATGTAGGTACCTCACTACCTAACTATCAAATAATAATACCTCAAGGTAAAATACAGGAACAAATTTCTTCAGTATACACGTACGTTTTGAACATAATCAATGCTGCTGGACTGTTCCAAGCAATAGAACAGTGTATGATCTTGCTCTATACTTTCTTTACACAAACAATCGCCCCGTTAGGTACTTAGTTTTGTCGATATAAGTAAGTAATAGATTTTTATTGTATTATAGGCGGAAGCTAATCACTTTGATGATCTAATCCAAGAAGATTTCCTGGATACGTACAATAATCTTACCTTAAAATCAGCTTTTCTGCTGAAATGGGCAAATTCGTCGGGTTGTGCCGCTTCTTCACGCTTCGTGCTTAAAACCGATGACGATATGTACATCAATGTGCACAACCTTGTCAGTCTTCTTAAGGCAAGGGGGCGGCCACGGATGCTCCTTGGCGCTCTAATTTCTAAAGCCACGCCGTTACGAGACTTCAAATCAAAATGGTAATGTCTTCTTTACGCTTTTCAGTAGCCGATAAAAATCATGATAGTTACTGCGAGAAAATATATTCTTTGCGCTGTCTTTACAACAGCCTATAGAAGGAGAACAAAATATTGTTTGAGCTTTATTCGGTTCAAAAATGTAATTAATGTAGCTTTGATTTGATGCACATATGATTCTCTGAGGAACTGACTTATTGACGTCTTAGTATGCTAGTGAAACTACGTTAACTTCCATTAGACATCTTTGAAATTTTGTATTTAGGTTACGACGTAGCAGTAGCAAAACAGCACCCAAACGAATAGCTTTAAATAGTGCTTTGGGGTTGTCAGATCTGCTAGGATTACTATTCAATGCGAAGTGATATTTAGTACTCCATTTGACTGAACATCTCAAAAGGTAGGGACGAATTTACAGCCAGGAGTGCTGTTCCCACGCACAAGTTAATCCTTATCGAATAAAGTTCACCCCCTGAGGTAATATCATGTTTCGGCGAGAACAGAGAAAATTAGTCCTAAGCAAAATATTAAAACATTGATTCAGACATATTCCACCAATTATTATTTTAAATCTTTTGAGAGTGCTTGTTTTTTTTTTTTTAAATAAAATATCGCATCTCGTTTTAAGTAAAGCATGAAATAAGACGAATCGCAATAGATTGCTGCTATGGTGATATAGGGGTAATACGGTAACGTCATAGCAGTGTTGTCCTACCTGAGCGCTCAGTTTAACGGAGCGATTAACTCAGCGTTCGTGTTGCATGTATCTTCCCAGATCTATCTTATCCAATAGTATCAGGTGCGGCAAGAAGGTTTACTCATTCAATTTGGTATTCCTTGTTACATTGTAATAGCACATGTTGTATTGTCTCTGAAAACGTTTCAGGTCTGACGTAGTGTACCCACCGGCCGAGTTCAATGTGTCCATAAAACTGCCCGTGGGGCCTGTACGATTCTTGCACAAGCCAGTGCTAGTAGTGAACACCCGATGTTTTTGTCGCGAGGTATACGTTACTGCCGTAGCTTGTTAAGGTTTCGTCTCGATCATGTTGGCCATAGTCGACCGTCTATAGGCACTTTTACTGTTCGAAGGTTCTATTTTAGAGTGCTAATTCAGCTCTTCGTCTAGCTTTTAATTCTAAGTTTCTCTTATATCAAGTCCTAGATTTATATTATTATTATATATTAAGATTTAGTCCTAAAGGTTTCCATCATAACCATTATGGCTTAATGAAGTTTTTTCAAAAATTCGAATTTTGATTCGCGTTTCCGCCTCTCGTGGTCCGAACATTTTGGTACGGTGAAGTATTCTAATACTCCTGGGACGTATACCTTTGCGTTTCTTTAGTCCCTCCCAAGCACCTTTCAGGTAGTTCTTGACATTCTCACCACCGCTTGCTTCTCCGTATGTTAAGTTGGCTAAGTGTGGCTAATTGTTATCCTCTGCTGCTCTGAAAAGCAGTTGCGGTCTCAGTCCACCATAACAGCTAGATATTTGTGTGATATCTGTTTCCTTGGACTTGCGAAGCCCTCATTGCCCTTAGTGCGTTCGATGAGAAGTTTCCTATGGCATTTTAGGACGAACTTAATGTCAGCTAAGGTAAATATCTTGCTTAATATTCAATAGGATTTCGGCGACCCGGTACATCATCGTCTCGCGTCAAGTTGTTTGCGAACAATAACCCTGCCACCTTTAACCTCTCTCTCGTCTTAAGCAAGTTCTAATAGTAGACGCTTGATCCATTCTGACCTTATCAGTTACTATTTCTGCTTATGCTGTATACAGCGCTTCCAGTTCCGACCACATCCGGCAACCTCCTTAGTCCCTTAATTGCATGAAGTTTTTTTAGCTTGATACTACTCGTGGCGTAAGATTAGGCTGGTTTCTTTTATATCAAGAATTAGAATATTATCTATACTCCAATAATTCAAATATAGGCGGGTTTATGCATCCTGCTACAGGTCAATTTCGTACGAGAATCTGTACAGAACAGGCTATATTGTGGAAGGTTGGTAGATTGTTTTTTTCTATGCTTTTGCTCGTCTTTTGTGCTCACCGAAGGGCGAAAAGTTAGCAACGGTTTCAAATAATTTGTGATAGGCAGGAATAACTGCCAATTTGGTTGGTCGATGACTGAATGTATTTGATATTTAAAATTACGCGCGCGACCTTGTGCCGCTTATGCGCTATGCTCAGGGTAATTTGTGGGTGAGGACAGCGTCAGAGAAGCATACCTTCTCTAAAAAGAATATGCGTTTGAGTAACCAAAATATTTTCCTTCTCTATATAAATCATCCTACACTGAACTAAGGTCTAACCTTCATCGAGATTCGATCCAATATATCGGGCGCGAGCATTCTTCTTGTCGAAAGCAGTCTGATTATGGCTTAGGCTTAAGTGGCATCACATAATGATTGGCATGTTCGATAGACTTATATCGGGTGATTCAAGTTAGATGAGAACTTTCTTTTTGCCCCGACAGCGTATACGCAGTTCACGCTGACTCCTTCGCCTCATTATACGTCTTGTTTACAACATTTTAATTATAACCTTTGCGGGGAACGGGAAGAGTAACTTTATCTTCATTTCCATAACGTAACGTGCAACTGGCCACCGTCAATTAAACTATGTTGGCCAGCCCCCGCGGGCTCTATCACTCGTTTGACGTTCATTAGATCGAGTTCGCGTGACAGTACGTAAAATTTTAGTTAATTATTTATCGGGAAACTTTATGACCTCAAAGAATTTGTTGTTTTCTGTGGACATCAGTTGTTACACTGGATAATCGTATACAGTCTAGGATGGGAAAAGCAATTGTGTATAGCTATAATATGGTGACTGAGTTTTTTCAGTATATACGATACTCGATTTTTTTAAAATTGAGTTTATGTCAAATCTCAAGTTGCTTAAATTTCAAAATAATAGTTATGTGTGCTAGGAGAAAAGTAACATGTATTGATAGTATGTTTTGTTTACTGCGCTGTTCTGTAGGACAGCGTTCTAGTGTACGCTATATATGTCATAAGCTTAAAATTGTACTAAAACTTGCGATGGCAAGTTTAATAAACACGAATGCATTTTTTTTCCACCACTAAAATCAGTTTGTGTTTGCTATTTCTAATTATGTTAGGTACGTTCCGTCTTATATTTTTGGAGAGAAAGCGTATCCAAATTATCTCTCTGGAACTGGATACGTGATGTCGACAGATATCATTGCAGACCTTCTTCGAATGGCGGAGACAACACCGTTCTTCCATCTTGAGGACATTTACATTACAGGTAATTTTTTATTTTGCAAGTTCTTATTTACCTCGGCTCTGTCTAGACGGTATAGGAGCAAACAGAACGCCGAAAGAAAATACTGTAATCAGTATGTATGTACATATTAAGAGATCAACTTAACTTGGGGCCACTTGAATGTAACTCATCCGATGTTTTCAATATTCGATTTCAGCAATATATTATCTATAGATTAAAGATGTAGAGAGATCTAAGGCAATGGCCGGAACAGTTACATTACTAACTAGTTTGTACTTTTATAGGTCAAAACCGAGATATCAACCGATTTCAGCCAGTTAAATTTCAACTAATATATATAGAGACTGCATAACCTTCACCATGAAAATAAAATCCATGACGATAGCCGAAGCTTTGTAGAGCAAAACAACTTCAATTTTTGTTTCTATTTTTCTACTATGCATTTTGTAGGTCTTGTAGCGCGGCGATTGAACATTCATCGACTTAACCACGACGGCTTTAAGTTCTACAAACGCAAAAATAGCGTTTGTCTTTTCCGGCGTCTAATCACAGCACATAAAATGAGCCCATTAGAACTTAGGATTGTGTTCCAGGGTGTTCACGATCGCAGTAAGCTCTGCAGATAGCTACACTAAAGATCCCGTTTCCTTATCGTGTCCCATGAACTTCATATTTTCGGCCACAGGAAGACGAATTTGTCGTATATTACTACGCAGGCTTTAAAATTCAACACATTTCGTAGAACGACCGTTGGGATGGAAAATTTTTGGGCTCAGATGTATGTTCGAAGGCCGGCTCTACGCCAGCTAACCATGAAATCGCTACAGCGCTCAATCTTTGTTACGCAAAGAATCTCCTTTAAGTTGTGTCTGCTACATTTTTAGCGGATCGAATGCATCGTTGGCTAGTCTACCAGACCTTTTATTTTCTTCGGTGAACGTTCAGTTGGAATATCACCGTATACATTGTAAAGGCTTTTCTTGAATGCCAGGTGCCCGAGTATTAGACCCTAGGGCAATTTATAACCGTCCTTCGCGAAAAGCTAAATGTCTTCTTAGATTCCGTTTGTTAGCAGAAGCCTAGACTCCATGTTCCACAGGTCCACAGTTCGTTGCGAAGTTTACAAATCTCTATTTCTGCAACTGCTAGGACAGACGGTCCTATTGTGTGTGTATATATATATATATATATATATGTCCTTGTGGAGACAAAACGTGTCCAGTAGCCCTTCTTAAACAAACGGGGGCCGACCTCTATTGAGAAACCAGTGATGTTCATGATGCCAACCGGAATTGTGATTTCAAAAAATAGCTTAGTAAAATAAATTGCGTGTATATATGGAAAGAGATGATGTTTGCTAAACAGCCTCCGTCGAATAAGGCAAAATTAACCTAGGGATTTTTTGCGATATACTGCACCATTTATGCATGCAGCAATACAGTACGTGAATCGTGAGCACGATCAGTGTTGCGAAGGCGGTTCATCAACGGAAAAGGACATGAGCGATTTTCAGACACTAAATATAGTTTCTGGAACGATGTAGTTGCTGATCTAGGTTATTACGTAATGAAATAATTCGCACTTGTCGAACAGTTTGAGACACGAATCAAACCATATGTACTAACCTCATAGACAAAATTTCCAGTAGCAGGGTAAAGAGTTACTATCACTATTTAATGGTGTATATCGTCAAGGCTAGGTAAGGTATTGGGGCAGTTCTTAACACTGTTAACATCGTTGGAGGGCGTTCTGACACCGAAAAGAGCCAAATGTAATTAAGGACGCTACACGGCAACTTTTTCTTCGTAAAGATAGATCACTGAGCAACAACAAGATGGCAAATCGAGAGACTATGTGAACCATAAATTTATTGACAATTGGAAAATTTTAGTTTTCCCTCAGCTAAAATAGTAAGAGATACGCAAATGAGAGAGGGTTCAACTGTATCACACACACTTGTATCAGGAATGCCTTGATGTTGTCGTTCAAATAACATTATAATGTCGTAGCGTTAGTATGCGTCTAAAATACCATAAGTACATGTTCGTGACTCATATATAAATATTCTGTAGTATATTCAAAAATATCATTACGACGCGTTTCTTATACATGCGCTGCGCTGTTCAATATCCTGTTTATGGCATCAATTTGCGTGTTGTTTTTTTAATAGATGTAATGTAAAAATTCCTAATTTTTTAAAAGGTTACTGCTTTACCTCATATATATATATATATATATATGCGAATGATCATAAGATGGCGATGAAGGCAAGCAAGTGTTGCGACGACATCCCCTCAACCTACATATGGAAACACAAATGATAAAAAAAATAGGGTTTTATTCTTAATATAATCATTATATCAATACGCAATGGTACTTACAGAATGACAGCAAGCTCAGCGTGTCTAGAAATTACATATATGATCCGCTCGCTGATTTTAAAGCGTTGAATGTTTATATAATAAGGAAAAAACTGCATCCACGCAAGAGAAAAATATCATTGGCGTAGAGCTAACAAAAATTATGGGGAAAAAAAAGTATTATTTGTTGATAATGCTGTGCAGCACAAAATTTGTCTTCAGACTATAAGCCTTGTACCTACGATTTCTTCTATCACAAGTTCATAAGAATGCTAGCTCTGTTGTTTAATCGTTGTGGCTAGTATAATCAGCGTTCCTGTTGCAAGTCAGTCGAAATTATTTTAGCAAAATTACGAAATTAGGTTTTTTTTTTTTCTCAAATAAGTTGCACATACTGTTACACAAAGACATGACGTAGTCTTCCAATTCCGAAAGCTTCTATATCTTTAATACTTTTTAAATTGCAAACTGCTATAAATTCACCTTCAAAATATTGGATGTCTCAATAAGGGGGGTCAGCGCATTATATCATTGTATAGCCTGTGGTACGAAAAACCGTATAAGTAAAATACGTATTTTATTCGTCAGAGGGATACAACGATTACGGAAAGAGAGGTTTGTTTTCGCGCGTGATCCAGGTGTAGGCGGTGTGGCTGGGGCCACACTACTATAGTTCTATGTTAACGTTCTACAGCGGAGTTAATGCTGATAGTTCTGCAAGTTGTGAGCGCGTAACTGCGGCCATTTTTAAATTGAACACGTCTTTTTTTTGGGTAAGACTGCACAGTGATTCGCCATACATAAAACGAATCAGGAAAGCGTTTATTACCATCAAATCGAGGCAATTGTATTGATATTTGTTTTTGCCGCTGCCATTTTTAGGTTGGAGGCGCTATTCTAACAGTGATCGACTATGTTATATGCAGTGTGACGTATTGTGGTTTCTAAAGGGGTCAGTCGTGGTATCGTGGCCCTGTATTGTAAAGGACGTGTAACGGACGGTGGGTTGAAATGCCTGACGAGATAGATATTTTTCAGTTCTTCAACCTCTGCTATTATACCAAGTTATCCCTCAGAGCACTCGCCAACCCTTACCATAACCCATTTACAAAATACAAACTATTATTATTATTATATAGAGAATATATCGTCCGAAACCTGTGTGTGAAAATCCGGGATTATTAAGCAACAATTTGTTTCTCACTTCATCATTTATACAATGAATCAAGCAAATTATAAAGATACAACTGATAATGACTATAAACAAATACTGATTGACTTAAGCACATATTGGGTTTTATCGTTAAAATACCAATCATTTTAAATCACAATTGTAGCAAACATTATTTTTAGATTTAGTAAGTATTGCAGGAAATTCACTCATCTTCAAGGCCCTCTATCTGAAGGTTTTTGTCAAAGACATTCCAGCAGTTTGGATATATCTACTACTGCCAAATCTAAGCTTTCAAGTGACATTCATCACGCGACTCACATTGCCCTGAATATGAACCGTATAGATAGAAAAACGCGTAGTACTTTTGCGACAACTCAGTACATATAATGTTATCTCTGAATAGTTGTACGTACCTATACCACAAAATTGTTGGTCTTTATGCAGCTTGTTCCATATCAACGTTTGTGCATATGAATACTATATGTATAGGGCTGAAGTTCTGTCGATGCCGACGGGTACTGAACTAGATCACGTGAGTTGTGGTCGTCTTCCAGCCGACAAGTAAATCACACAATGATTTAGTGTGAACTTTTGATGGCAGCGATAACAATAGGCAACAGTTAACAAAGTTCTCAGGGCATACAGCTAACCAAAGTCAGGCATCCGCATAAAGTTGAACGATACCGTTAGGACGCTACTGAAACTGAACGGCAAGTACAACTGGTCCAAAATGTTTCGTATATTAATTGTTTTAGCTTCTAGTAAAAGGTATGAACGAATAGGCCATTGTGAAGCTCGAAATACAATCTAAGAATTTGCCTTTCATGTGTGGTTCTGACGAGTGAAACGGGCAGATATCGTTAAAGCGAGTCCTCCTTGACCCGCGTTTGAAATAAGTACGCCGTACAGATTATCGAGACGACGAAAGTGTACGATATGTCCTTATAATAGGCAATTGAGCTTAACGAAATCTGTCATACGTCTTCAATTTGAATGAAAAACACATGAAAGACCTATATAGCTTTGAGATTTTAATAAAAACTATTTAATGCTAGCGTGTGTGCGAGTGACGTGTGAGAACAATATCGTTTTTGCTAAATTAAGCATAGGTAACAGCGCTGAGTTACTGCATATTCAAGAAAACGTATCGGTTGGATAGGGGAAAACAAATCCAAATAAATATATTAATTATATACGATATTCGTGGATATATATACGGGTTTATATTGCTCGATCACAAAGCATTTTAGAAGAGAGAGGGACGAAGGTCGGGAAGAGAACCACTGTAAATAAACTTTTTGTCCAAATCCAATTATACCTGTTGGTGTTCTCTTTTTCTGGTCTTATTTATTCTTTATAGTACGTTATAAATACTGCTTTTGCAATTATAACAGGACTACAATTATA